TCCTGCACTTGAGTTACAACAACCCCATGCAATGCTACAGACTTGGAGAAGAGTGGCTGGAAAGCTGCCCAGAGGAAAAGAACCTGGGGTTATTGGTCAATATGAGTATGAGCCAGCAGTGTGCCCAGGTGCCCAAAGCAGCCAATGGCATCCTGGCTTCTATCAGGAATAGTGTGGCCAGCAGGACAAAGGAAGGGATTGTCCCCCTCTACTCAGCACTGGTGAGGCCACACCATGAATACTGTGGTTAGTTCTGGGCCCCATGCTGCAAGAAGGACATTGAGGTGCTGGAGCGAGTCCAGAGAAGGGCAGTGAAGCTGGTGAAGGGTCTGGAGAACAAATCTTAGGAGGAACATCTGAGGAAAATGGGTTTGTTTAGCCTGGAGAGAAAGAGACTGAGGGGAAACCTCACTGCTCTCTACAACTACTTGAAAGGAGGGTGTAGTGAGGTGCGTGTTGGCCTCTTCTCCCACGTGACAGTTGATCAGACAAAAGGAAATGGGGTCAAGTTGTGCTGGGGGGGTCTAGACTGGATATCAGGAAAAAACTTTTCGTTGAAAGAGTTGTCAGGCACAGGAACAGGCTTCCCAGGACAGTGCTGGAGTCACCATCCCTAAAAGTATTTAAAAGATGTGTAGATGTGCTGCTTAGGGACATGGTTTAGTGGTGGCCTGGGCAGTCAGGTTTATGGTTGGACTCAAGTGTTCTTTAGGGTCTTTTCAAGCCTAAATGATTCTATGAATACCATGCAAAACCCGTGTAATTTGTTGAAGTTCTGGGTAGAAAAAAAACACCTTAAGGTTGGTGAGTAGGTGGAAAACCTCCCTCTCTACGATTCAGATGCCTTGATCCTTCTGTGTTTTATGTCATGCCATGCCATTAAATTTGTTCCGTTTCTAGCAGAACATAACATAAAAACCAAAATGGAGGATAGAAAAGTAAAACAGAGGTGGTCTGAACTTAATAGAGTTTTGTAATTCTCAAAGCTCACTGTTAAGTATTGTAGACAGGGTTTAATGATCATGTATTACTGGTTCCGTATCTTCTTTTATGTGTACTATGAGAGGAGAATAAAATCACTGTAATTCAATTTCTACTCTTTATTCCATCTCTCTCAAATCTTTCATGCATATCTTTTTGATACATGGAGCATGAATCCTCTGAATGAAAGTAATCAACCTTAGTAATGGAGTACTCCTTGCACTGACTTGTTACAAGTAAGATTTTCCCATTCTCCGAGAGACAAGCTGTGCTGGTTTGGTTTGGCAGGATTTTTTGGTAGGGCAGGAAGGGCACCAGGAGTGGCTCCTGTAAGAAGCTGAGAAGCTCCCCCTACGCCAAAACCCAGCCAAGGAGCCATTAGAGAGACAATAGATGCACCTCAGCAATTAACATACGAAATAACAGATATAAGACTTGAGCAGAGCAAGCAGTGGAAGAACAGCTGAGCTGGGGAAGGAGAGCAGTGCTGGTGGTTGGTGAGGAAGAAGGGGAAGAAGGTGCCCAAGCAGAAGTTTTCCTGCAACCCATGGAGTGAGATGGCAGCTGTCCCCCTGCATTCATGGAGGAGCATGGTGGAACATTCCCTGAAGATGCCAGGAGGGGTGAACTTGGCCACTGGACTTTGATTTTGCTGCACTGGATTATGCAGCTGTGGAAGACCCCAGCACCAGGGGATTTGCCTGTTCCTGAAGGGAGCCAGTGACTTGTCCTGGTTTGAGCCAGGATGAAGCCAATTTCTCATTTTACTGATTTTTTTTTTTCCTTCAGTAAGCTTTCTTGTAACTAGCAACAGTGTGTTCTGCTAGGCTGATAAGACACTGGAATATTTTTCTAACTACTGAGGCTTCAAGGCTGCACCTGCACTCTGCCAGCTCAGACACTATGGGGAGATCTGTGACCCCCCCCGTAGGAGGCTGAGTTAGACAGACAGCAAAATTGGCCAAAGATATTCCATTCCATATATCTACGTAAGCTCAGAGGAAGGTCAGAGATCACAGAAGACAACTTCCTTCCTTTTTTTCTTCTTCCCTTCTCTTCCGTCCATGGCCGGCGTCCAGGGAGGACTCTGTTCATCCATCACCGTCGATCCTCAGGCTTGATCTCTCGTGACCCCCATAACTCTCTGCTTTCTCCAGCAGCAGCTCCGGGATTCCTCGGGACTCTTCCCAGTTCAGGGAAGTGCTGTGGGAGTTGCTGGGGTGGGGGGAGG